ATCCCATCTCCAAAATGAAGTTTCAGCACCTTGGACACCCCTTTGAGAAGGTCCATATGAAAACCTGGAGTGGATTCATTGCCCCAATGACATGGGACCTGTCAACTGCCATGACTTTCTTCGAAGACACACACACAATATCCTCCACTCACATTATAATACCATCTTCCCTGAGAGATCTGCTGTAAGACCTATTCTGATAATGTCCAGGATGTCCTTTGACGAGACATTGATGGTGTATCAAGATTTCATTGTACTCGAATTCCTTTTCAGCGGCTTTTCACGCCGTTTTATTACCTATTTTAATTGGACTCGTTCTAATGCTATTTTTAATTTTTCTGTTTGCTGCCATGTCCCAGGGTTTTTCATAAGCAGCTGGCTTGAAGCCATCTGGCAAAAAGGCAAGAGAGAAATTCTACGCACAAATGAAATGCTTAGAGTGCTTTTTAAAAGGCACTTTACAAGGACAACTTCCCTTGTTTCTCCGAAGGAGCAAAGAGGTGGGGAATGTTACTCTTTTGGACTACGGCTTCCAGGATCCCTCAACCAGCATGGCCACTGGGGATACTGGGAGTTTTAATCCAAAATCGTAACATTCACAAGGAGAGCCTAGTAGTTTGAGTGTTGGACGACAACTTTGGAGTCCAGGGTTCGATTCTCAACTTGGCCACAAAACCCACTGGGCAACCTTGGGCAAGTCACATGCTCTCAGCCTCAAGGGAAGGCAATGGCAAACTTCTTCTGAACAAATCTTGCCAAAGAAATCCCAGTTCACCTTAGGGTGTCCATAAGTCCAAATGATTCGAAGGCACGCAACAACAGCAACAACCAACTTTCTGAAGCTTTGGCACACAATGCAGGGCAGTGTAGCATTATAGTTTGCAGATGGGCATCTCCCAATCCGGTGCGTCTCCACTGCCAACACACTTGGCAAAAAAATAAATAAAATGAAATTGAAAAATAAAAATAAAAATAAAGAAATCTCACATCCATGCCCGTCTCCATATCCCCCTTCCTATAATAAAGTGCTGACCTTGTGTGTCTACTTGCTTCTTTGCAGAAGCGCATCCGAAGCCTCGCCAGTCATGCCATGCTCTTCGCAAAGCTTCAGCAGAGAGCCAAAAAGCTTTCAGCAAACAGATAAGGTTAACTACTGCTTTTTCCATTCCAGAGACCTTTCTGCAGATGGCCGGCAACTCATGCCACTTACTCTCAGATTTCTGCCCCCCAGATCGGTAACATAGCAAGGACCAGGTTTGCTGGGTCAAAGCCTCGGGACTTTAAAAGTATAAAGGACCATGGCATCCAGAGAAGGGCGACTACAATGGTGAAGGGTCCTATCAAGTCCTATGGACTTGATGAAGGGTCCATCAAGGGTCCAAGGGTCCTATCAAGTCCATAGGACTTGATGAAGGGTCCATCAAGTCCTATGAGGAGCAGCTTCCCAGATGGCCTCCTTGCTGCCTCCAGTCAGAGGGACTGGATCCTTCCCAGAACCCAGTCTCTGGTAGCCCCAGTCTACTCATAGAGAGGTATTGCAGCACACTCCACACTGGGAGACAGACACACACCTCTTTGTGGTGTCACCCAGTGTGGTCCGCACCCCCGCACTCCCCTAGTGATGCCCATGACTGCCATTGTGCCCAATGCAAAACCAGTAGTGAAAAAGAGATTTAAAACCACAATGAACACCACCACCAATGACCACGCAATGGTCACAGTCCACCAGCTAAACTTTCTTTCTACAACAACTCAGGCTCTTCAGACAGTGGTGCTACCTATTCATCCAGATGCCATTCTAAACGCTTCATATCTTTTGCATATCTCTTTACTTTCCCTCCACCCTCCATTGGCTCCAGAAACTGGATCGTATCCTGGGTTGAATCCTGTTTTACCCACAACTTTCTGGTCCGGAGCGCAGTTATAGAAAACAAGGAGTTGGAATCAGGTAAATATTTTGTGCATGGGTGAATAGTTGGGGATTGGGGACTTGCATGTCAGTGGGAATGGTGAAGCCCACTCTGTGTTTCGGTCCAAATTGTTAAGGGATCTGCCCAGGGTGTTGCACCCTATGCCTCAAATAGATTCACTTTTAATGTCACAACCAGACTGATATGGAATCCACCAAATACTACTGAGTGTGTATATGTTAGAGAAAGAGAGAGAGAATGCATGCATTACAAGTAATAGTTCTTCTATGTACTATGAGAAAGCTAGTGTAGTGTAGTGGTTGAGTGTCGGACTATGATTCTGGAGACCGGGGTTCAAATCCCCACCTTGGGCAAGTCACACTCTCTCAGCCTCAGAGGAAGCCCAAGGCAAACTCCCCCCCCC